CCCCAAAACCCCAAAACCCCAAAACCCCTCAATCAATCTCTATAATTATTTTATATATAATTAAAATTAAGAAATCAAATTTATCAGATTTTGTAGAAACTTCATTAATTCATCATCACTCCTCCTCGAAATCATCATCATCGAACTAATCGTCGTTTTCAGGTAACGCTTGAGTGCCTCCTATCTTTATTTCTTGGAATGTCTCCTCTTTTTCAATCTTTGGCTGCTACTATTCAATTTGAGTTGGTTATTTTTAGATAATCTATTGAGGTAATACTTGTTTGACTTCTTCAACCTTTTGCTTTACTTGAGTTTATTATTACTAAATCTGTGCTGGTAATATCGACTGTTGATTGACTACTGGTTTATTGGCAGGAGCACCAACTGGCTAAGCACTTAGATCCTTGAATTTAAGTGCCATATCTAGAACACCAGTGGCTGCATTACCTTCAATTGTCATTGGCAGATTCCCCTTTCTTATTTTTAAGTTAGGTTTCTGTACGGCTGTCTGACTGATATCAATCATACTCTGAGCTATCACCTTCTTAGAGCTGACAGCAATTATTTTCAAAGTAAGGATTCTGTCTTTATTCACATCTGCTACTGCTATGGTTTTCACATCTGAGAATAGTAGATATCGGAGTTCCTTAGGCACTGGGGGCTCCTTGATTATATCATCAGTGACCTCTACTTAAAGGGATCGATTGGTCTTCTGTGGTCCCCCTAGAGACATTTCAATATAGTACTTCTCCTTCGGCATATTGATGCTTAGATCTGGGTGGATATAATCATAGAGGAAGATCTCAAGTGTGCCATTTGCTCCAACTTGCTGCTCTCTCTTATTAGGAACTGAAACAGGAGCAACCACTTCTCTTTTAGAACCATCTTCATTGAACTTAGATTTCTCAGAACCTGCTGGAATCCACTTGGCGAAGATCTTGATCATTCCTTATACCTTTGAAGGGCATTTGCCAGATGGGTCAGCCAAGGCTATTCTCTATTGAAGCCATTCACCATTTCTTGGAAGAACTTCTTTCCAAGGCAAGAAGCATTCTCCAACGAAGACTGCTCTATCAGGTGTAGCTTCAGTCTCTGTTTCTTGCATCAAACATGATATAGTTATGAAATCAGAAATTTTGTTCTATAAGTATATAAGCTAAACTTATTCTTACCTTATCTTTGTTAATCATGGGGATAGTGACAGCAGCTTGGAAGTTGTTCTTGGCTCTGAAGTTTACACAGGGTGTTGAGTACAACTATTGTTCTACTTTTTAGCCATCTTAAGTGTAACTGACTAGATTCAAACCTATGATTGGTATCCCTTTGCCAGGCACAGATATGAGGTTGAGGCCTTCATCGAACTAGACCTTGATCTCGCCTGAGATGTTTTCAACTGGCAACTTGCCATTCTTAAGTGCTTCAATTATAAGTTGCTCCTTCTTCTTGTACTCGTCGATTTCAAAGGGCTTGAATCCGTAGTCGTCGTAGTTAACCTTCTGCTTCACCTCTTGCTTCATCTCCTCCACTAACTCTTTCTTCATCTAATCTGATATCTTGGTGCTCTAGATGTCTTTGATGTCTTGTGGCACAAATGCTTTGCCAGTGTCAAGATACTTCGACATCTGTTTCTCGAATTCCTCCAAACTAATCATGTTGTCTCCGTCCTTGTCAAACAGCTTGAGCACATTCCTCTGTATCTAGATGCTTACCTCTATTTTCATCGCTTTAAAGGCATCTTGGAGTTCTGCGAATGTAATCGTCCCACTTCTATTGTCGTCTAAGTGCTAGAATGCCTCTTGAATTCCATAGCCCTTAGATCTGAATTCGTTGGCTAAAGTTTGCAGCGTCTCTTGCTCTATCTAACCTCGTTTCTTTGATCTCTCGTATATCCTCATCATGATGTCTGTAATTTTTAGTTTGTGAACTGGCTGGCCACCTTCATAGAAACCAACTATTCTCTGGATCGAAAGAATATCATTTGGAGTCATACCAATCTTGGTAAGGAAATTCACGAACTGAGTCTGCGTTATCATTCCAGAACCATCTGGTTCTCCAGCCTCAATCAGTTTTTGTTATAAATTGTAGCCAAGCACCTATATTCTCTGCAGAAGTCTCATAAGAGCATCGTCATCTTCAAGGTAATAGTCTCCGTCCCCCTTCTTGTTTTTAGCTGGGTTAGCTGCATTCAGCATAGTGCCACCTTTCTCCAGAGTAGTGAGAAAGATTTAACCAGCCTTAAACCTGAGTGCTCTGTTTCTCTCCCTCTCTTGAAGCAGCTATCTTTCAAGGTCATTTTTACTTATTTCTAGCTCCTGCAGTTTTGACAAGCTCTTCATGTCCTCCATTTCCTTTCGCTTTCTCTAATCATCGCTTTCCAAGAGTTTCGTGAACTCCTCAAGTTTTGACTGAGACATGTTTAGGTATTCTGTGAGTGTTGATATTTGAATTTTCAGATCACCATTCTCAGCTAAAAGAGCCAGATATTGCTCTTCGTTTCTGAGATCAACTTGTTTATTCACTTGGGAGTCAGCTTGGTTTCTGAGCTAGTCTTGAAGCTGCCTAATTTTCTCGTCCTTCTCCTGAATTGTGATTTAGTGCATGCTATTGATCTATTCAAGAGCCATTAGTTACCTCTTGACATCAAGTAAATCCTGAATTTCTTCTACTTAGTTATTTTTAAGTGCCTTCTGCAATTCATCATCAGCTTCGTTTTCCATGTTTTTCTTAAGCACATCTGGGTCACAATCTCTGTTCTCATTGACCTAGCCGCTTAGACCCTTATAGAAATCCTGAAGAGATAGCTCATCTCCTCTTCCATGTGGAAGTGGCTTGTCATAAGGGAAGAATATGTTGAACACCTTCATAACTGCTTCATTAGGTCTAGTTCCGTTTATTTGAAGCATTAGGTCATCCATGTTTCTGACATATTCCATCCAGCTGCCTGTAAATAGGTAGGGTTTCTTGACATGCTGATAGGACTACACGCCAAATTCCTAGACTCTTTTGAGGAACATAACTAATCTTTCCTAGTAGTTCTTCATGTTGTAAGGCAGGAATTTGTCCTAGACTTTCTCCCATTCCTTAGGTGGACCAAGAGGATTCTTGAAATATTGAACACTCCCCTCGTAATAATCTTCCTCAACGTACTTCTGTTCTTCAACTCTGACCTTTTTGTTGATTGCAGGCTTGTTAATGGGTTTCTTTGGTGATCTATTGGTGTTGCTATTGGATTTCATGCCAAATATGTCATAAGCCTCTGGTTCTATTTTCATTTAGTTACCCTCAACGCTTAGCCCTTACGCAAGGTCTTGCTACTTAGGCACATAGGTTGGTGAACTGTGCACTATAATTAACTCCTTAATATGATCTGAGCAGGCTAGCTCCAAAGGTGTCTTGCCTTTAAGAGTGTCCTTAGTACCAGTTGAAGCGCCTCTTTACACAAGTAATGGAATCATTCTTGCCTTACCTGCTTCAGCAGCATGATGCAGAGGTGTTCTTCTTTCATTATCTAGGGCATTGACGTCTGCTCCAAAATTTAGAAGTTTCAGTCCCATCTCTACCTGTCTTGTCATAGAATTGAAAACAACATAGTGAAGAGCAGTACGGCCTGCATGATCCTTCATATGAACGAGATCAGGACCATGCTCACATAATATCACAATCTGCTCCACACAGGTTGAGCATGTAGCGTAATGCATCGCTGTTCTGCCACTTTAATCCTTCTCATATGGATCAGCATTATTATCTAGTAAAACCTTGACTACTGTAGCATGTCCACTTTAGCAAGCTAAATGTAATGGAGTCCTGAGCAATTTATCTCTAGCATCAATTCTAGCTCCTTTATTGATTAAGTATTCAACCATTGATTAATGGCCCTCAGCAGCAGCAATATGTAGAGGACTCTTTTTGCTGGTCTTTTCAACTGAATCCAATATCTCATTAGGTTGGCAATTAGCCACTCTAAAGTATTCAACAACTCTGCTCAAGTCATCATCTTTAATCATTTGGAAAAATGGCTCGAATTAATCATCTGTCTACTTGCGGGTTACCCACTACAAATTGAACTTGCATTTGTTTAATCTCTCTACGACTTTGTATTGATACTGAGTAGCCCACTCTTCATTTGTATTCTTTCTAAAGTCGATGGTAAAGTCAGGGTTAACCATAGTGCAAGCTAAATCCTCAGCAGTCAGAGATGTGAAACCCTTTTTCATAAATTTGTAGATAATGTATCGGTTTGTGTTATTAGTAGCTTATATATCCTCAAAGTCAATAATTCTTTGCTTGCTTCCGTCAGATATTTAAGACTTTGCACTTGCTTATTACACACTGTTTGTTTGTTGATTATTGTTATTCCCAACTCTATTGTTGATATTAGCAGTTCTAGATGTTGTTGATTTAGTTTTGTTAGCTAGATGAGGACTTGGCTTATCTCCAAAATCCTCAAAGTCATCATCATACTCGTTATCATCATTTTTAGCTACAGTTTTTGTCTGCTAAGTTTTCATGGATGAGGCTGTTGGTTACTGTTTTTACATTGAAGTGCCAAAAGGTTAGTTTTAGGTGAATCTAACACCTTTCTGAGTACTCATATTTGTTCTCTTAATTTGATTTAAGTTAAAATTTAGAAACTAATCCAATTTAAATTCAAATCAGTCAGTTCAGTCTTGATAATATAACTTGCGGGGTTTTGGGGTTTTGGGGTTTTGGGG